ATAATATAGCACCTGGAGAGGGAAAGAGAGGAGATAGAGGGAGAGAGGGAGGGGGAACTCACCATTAACAATACGGACCACATGCCAAAGCCTCAAGATAATAATTAAAGTGGCAACTTGAGCAAAACTCTCTTCCCTAGAACTGTAGGAGAAATGACAAGCCATGAAGTGTTGTACATGACTAATGTCTGTCTGTCCTTACATTGATGCTATGTCAAGTATCCATGATATCACGACAATAATTCCATCAAATACTTCGAATTTATGAGTGAAATATTTGAGACGAAATGCAATGAGTTTGAGGACTATCTGTAAAGAGAGATAAAGTTGTTTTGTTGTTGTTTATTGTTGTTGTTTACCTCAAATAAGAATGTTGTGAGAATACAAATACTAATGATATGTAATACAAGACCAACTTTGACACCTTTACTCTCATTATCTATAAAATAATAAATAAATAAAAGTTTTATTTTCACTTACGGTCAGCACAGATAGTTTTCCCCAGCCTGTACACACAGTGACAATAAGTTGATCCATTTCCTTCAGTTAAATTAGCTCCATCAAGAATGAGGTCAGGTGTAGGACCACAGTAATCAGGATCCTCAATATAATGACAGTAATGAACTTGTAAAAAAAGCTCATTACAAGGATTACTGAATAAGGAATAAGAATAAGGTGGTTAATGGTATAATGGACGATGGTGATACAATGGTATTAAGGTGTACGATGGTGGAAGGTTGCTATGGTTACATTGGTAATAAGATGGTACAGGGTATTTGGTGTACTAAGATGACAATAGCATAGGCGTATTTGGACCCGGGCAAGCACGGGCTTTGCCCGGGTAGAAATTTGCAGCCATAATTATATTCATTAGTTATTGTATTATACACAGTATTGTAACAGTGGGAGGACTGTTAACCACAATAGTTAGCACTGTTAACCACAATAATTTAGCACACACCTACATGTTACAAGTGTTTATTCAAGCACCAGGGCAGTTATAGGTCTTAAATTTTAAATGCATTTGCCCAAATTGCCCACAATCAATAGTTAAAGGTATAAATAATTAATTAAATATATGAATAATTAATTAACTATATGAATAATTAATTAAGTGCCCTAGTAGCTGGAGAAGGCTAGATACGCCTATGGACAATAGACTAATGGTGTTAATGTCAATATTATTAGGTGTTAAGATTAATGGTGATACAAGTTAAGATATTACACAAGTATTGTATAGGTGATATTGGTAGCCATTGGTGTATGGTGTAATAGTACAATGGTGATACAATGGTATGTAAGGTGGTGGGATGGTGATAAGGTGGTGATAGGTGTAATGGTAAGATGGTGTTTAAGATATGATATCGTATAGGATTGGTGATATTGGTAACCATTGTGGATATATGGTGTAATGGTGATGAT